TACATGATAAGTGTGCATAGTACTATGTCTAAAAAACAAGGTACATACCTGTTTTGTCTCACTGAACCCATAGGTGGAGTCACCTTAAAAGCAGCAGCAGGGGAATTCCCACAAGAGAGTACACAAAACCATTTGGAGACAGGGCTGGTTTGAGATTCTAAAGAAAGAAGCTCTCAGTGCCAGAGTGATCAGTCCAAAACATTTGTTAAAGAACTTTACAGGGTGTTGCATGCAATATATCATTGTGATGGACAGCAAGATAAAAGGGATGTTTTACCCATGTAAGTCTGTAGCCAGGGGTTGAGGGGATGGAGTTTACATGAAAATTTAAGGAATTCGGCTCCAGGTCAGGGTCAGTTTCTTTCCAGTAAACCTAGATACTATTATCAGTGCCTGGGAATGTTCAAGGACCTGCTTTGGGTTCAAGCCAGCTGAGGAAAATCTATGGCTACGGCTGGTTGGGTCACTGTGATTTTGGTCGGGACACAGAAAGAAAGTGGGGGAAACAGGTACCCTAACATACCTTAATTTAAAAATACTTCTGCTAAAAAATGCTAACAATCATCTGAGCCTTCACCAAGTCATAATTTTTGCTGGTGGAGAATCCTGCCTCAATGATGGCAGCTGACTGATCAAGGAGGTAGTTACTGAAGGTTAAGGTGGCTGTGGCAATTTCTTAAAATATGACAATGGAGTTTGCTGCATTGATGACTCTTCCTTTCACAAAATATTTCTCTGTAGCATGCAATGCTACAGAGTTTGATAGTATTTTACACACAAGAGAACTTCTTTCAAAGTTGTAGTCAGTCCTCTTAAACTCGCCCACTGCTTTATCAGCTAAGTTTATGTGACATTCTAAATAGCAGTAGATTCCATCTCAAGAAACTACTCTTTTCTACTTCATAGGAAGGAACTCCTTATTCATTCAAGTTTGATTGCAGCAATTCAGTCACATCTTCAGACTCTGTTTTTAACTCAAATTATCTTGCTATTTCCACCATACCTGTAGTGATTTCCTCCTCTGAAGTCTTGAATCCCTCAAAGTCATCAATGAGAGTTGGAATTCACTTTCAAACTCCTATTTATACTAATATTTTTACCTCCTTCCATGAACGTTCTTAATGGCATCTAGAATCCTTTCCAGAATGTTTTTGGTTTACCTTGCTCGGATCCATCAGAGGAATCACCATCTGTGGCAACTTATAACTTTATGAAATGTATTTCTTAAATATTGAGACCTGAAAGTCAGAATTATTCCTTGATCCATAGGTTGCAGAATGGATGCTGTAGTTAGCAGGCATGTAAACAACATTAATTTCCTTGTACATCTCCATCGCAGCCTTTCAGTGACCACGTGCATTGTCAATGACCAATAATATTTTTTAAATAAATCATGTTTTATCACTAGATCTCAACAGTGGACCTAAAATATTCAGTGAGCCATTATAAACAGATGTGCTGTCAACCAGGTTTTGTTCTTCCATTCATAGAGCACAGCAGAGTAGATGTAGCATATTTTTTAAGGGTCCTAGGATTTTCAGAATGGTAAATCTGCTTCAACTTAAAGTCACCAGCCATCTCAGCCCCTAACAAGAGAGTTGCCTGTCTTTCGAAACTTTGAAGCCATAGCTTCTATAGCTATGAAAGTCCTGGATAGCATCTTCTTCCAATATAAGATTGTCTTGTCTACACTGAAAATCTGTTGTTTAGTGTAGCCATCTTCATCAATGTTCTTGGCTAAATCTTCTGAATAACTTGCTGCAGCTTCTCCATCAGCACTTACTGCTTTACCTTTCATTTTTATGTTAAAGAGAGCACTTCTAACCTTAAACCTCATAAACCCACCACTGCTATCTTCAACCTTTTCTTCTACAACTTCCTCACCTCTCTCAGCCTTCATAAAAATGAAGAGCCTTAAGGCCTTGCTCTGGATTAGGCTTTAACTTTAGAGAATGCTGTGGCTGGTTTGATTTTTATACAGAACTCTAAAACTTTCTCCTTATCAACAATGAGGCTGTTTCACTTTCTTATAATTCCTGTGTTCACTGGAGTAGCACTTTTAATTTCCTTCAAGAGCTTTTCCTTGGCATTCACAACTTGACTGTTTTCGGTTTGAGGCCTAGTTTTCAGCCTATTTCTGCTTTCAACTTACTCAGCTTAACCATTTTTAGCTTTGATTTAAAGTGAGACGAATGACTCTTCCTTTCACTTGAACACTTAGAGGCCATTGCAGGGTTATTAATTGGCCTAATTTCAGTATTGCTGTGTCTCACTGAAGAATATGCTGATCAGCGAAACAGAATATACACAACATTTATCAAATAAGTTTGCCATCATAAGTGGGTATAGTTTGTGGTGGCCCAAAACAATGCCAATAATAACATCAAAGCTAACTGTTCACAAATTGTCATAACAGATGTAATAATAATTTAAAAGTTTAAAATATTGGCAGAATTACCGAGATGTTACACAGAGACATAAAATGAGCACATGATAGACGTGCTTGACAAAAAGCTGCCCCGAACCATCGTTTTGTAAAACAAACAAAAACCCAGTATTTGCAAAGCACAATAAATGAAGATATGCCTGTATACTGCATATTTACTTTAATAATCATATAATAAAATTAATTGGATATGAAATAGAATGTTCTAAAACAGCAGAAGGGAAATAAATTTTAACAATGCTGACAGGAGCCATGGCATACTTGAATTTTTAGGACTCGTCTTAAATATGGGGGTGGAAGCTTACCTTCTGCACTGGTAACCAGATACTTATTAGATTATGGCCCATTGGGGCCATAATCTAAGTATATTTGCTACATTGTCGTTATATCTTGCTATCTAGTGTCTTTTTTTAGGTTGGTATTGTCACATTTAATCCATATCTGCAATATATTACTCTTGCTATATTAAATGTTTGTATCAGTCTTCCTCTTAGCCCCAACCAATCTAAGATTGGAAATCATGGAATCCTTCACTCCTTTTGTAAACTTGGTATAAACAGAATCAATGTTTACTAGATATGCTGTTCTTGTAAAGATTTCTCTGTTCTTCTTCATCAAGATTTGCCAATCTTCCTGGGCACTCTTGCCTTCTGCAGTCTTTCACCTCACATTAAAATATTCCTTACAGCATTCTCTTTTTTTTTGAGATGGTGCTCACTCTGTTGTCCAGGCTGGAGTGCATGGCATGATCTCGGCTCACTGCAGCCTTGGCCTCCTGGCCTTCCAGTGATTCTCCTCCCTCAGGCTTTCAAGTAGCTGGGATTACAGGTGTCTGCCACAATGCCAGGCTCATTTTTTGTATTTTTAGTAGAGACGGGGTTTCACCATGTTGACCAGGCTGTCTTGCACTCCTAATCTCAAGTGATCCACCCATCTTGGCCTCCCAAAGTGCTGGGATTACAGGCATGAGCTACTACGCTTGGCCTCCTTATAACAGTCTTCTAGTCTTATTTTCCAACTGTTGGCTTTTATATTTTAAATTGTCAATATAAAGTCCTGCCTATTGTTTAGCAGGAGAGAAAGTCCTCTATATTAGAGCTTCTTCTGGAGCTTAAAGTAAGCCTTGGCTTGTAGAGGTGTTTTCTCACTTCTTGGTGTCTGGAGCACTGTTTTCAAGGCTGTTAGAGACCTGCTTTAAATAAGTACAAGTGCTAATGCTCTGAGTGCAAGTCTGTAAGGGTTAGTGAGTCCTCAAATCACAGGAGTCTCCTAACCAACACTAACCAACTCTTCTCCAAGAATCTGCAGCTTCAAAGTATTAAACTAAATACAGCAGACACCCTCAGCATAGCAGTGAGCCACAATGGCAGCTGACAAAGAAGCAGGAACATGTAGTGGACTGGTCTGCAAGACCACACTTATATCTTGTTTAAAATGTGTCCTTTCCTTTGGGAAGCCAAGGCGGGCAGATCACTCAAGGTCAGGAGTTCAAAACCAGCCTGGTCAATATGGTGAAATCCCATCTCTACTAAAAATACAAACAAATTAGCCAGGTGTAGTGGCAGGCACCTGTAATCCCACCTACTTGGGAGACCGAGGCAGGAGAATCATTTGAATCTGGGAGGGTGAGGTTGCAGTGAGCCTAGATCACACCACTGCACTGCAACATGGGCAACAGAGCAAGACTCCATCTCAAAAAAATAAATAAAGTCAAATAAAATGCATCCTTTCTCTTAACAGCAAAAGCCTTCTCTATTTTTTCATCCTTGAAATATGTTCTTTTCATAGTAGGAGAGGATGGCACCTTGTCTGAGAGGCTAAGACCCTCAGGCCACTTGAGAATTTGAGAGGTTTTAGAACTTGATGAGCATAGCTGACTGGATACTTCATGTCAGCACTGCTTGTGGTAATTACAGGATCTATGGATCACAAGGCTAATAACTTGCATCACAAGTTCTACAAGAAAATTGGCTAACTCAAATTTGGCTCTGTTAATCATTTGCTGAGTTTATATCTTGTCCCACCAAATGTATTTTTTGAAATGTCATTACAGGAAAAAGTTTCACCACTCCAATTATCTGTGTTTAACAACTTTTGGAGTAAGAGTTGCTGATTAAATATGTGCTTTTAAACTACACGATTATATATGTTGGCCAAGCTTTTTATATTAACCCTACGCATGAAGTATCACCAATATTTTCTCCCAGTGTGAAACTGGTATTTGTCAAAAGCTGTTTGCCATATAAAAGTTTTAAATTGTTATATATGATGAAATCTGTCCTTTTTGACTTGAGTTCCCCAGCCTGCTTAGCTTTGCCCCTATCACCCCACGATTTTTTAAAGCTTTTTATATTTTCTTAGTATTTAAGATTTTAAAGTCTTTAGTTTTTAAAATCATTTATTTGTGAAGGGACAGATTTCTCAAATGTGCTAGTTTTCCTTGATTTAAATGGATTCAAATGTTTCCTACGTGAGCCATTTTCTTCAAAACGAAGATGAATTGTTTTTGTTCCTTTGAAATCTGGCCCAGGATTTTTGTTTGTTTTTGAAAGTTCTTACTTCACTTACAGAGTTTATATGAAAGTTGAATAACTATGCAACCAGGGTCTCTAAGTAGAAGTTCTTACAAATCCTAAGATGCTGCAGGGTACTGAGAGAGGATAAAGCCCTCTCCAATCTCACACTCAGTGAAAATAGCAAACAAAAGGCTTCAGTGGTAGTAGAAAACTAAGTTCTTCAAAAGCAGGTAAAGGTCCTGTTTACTCCTTCCCGAGAGCTGAGAAAGGGTTTTCAGATTATAAGTAACAGAGTTGCCCTTGTATGGCACAGAACTGGGATAAGATTTTACTTCTTAGGGGCTTAAATAATGAAGTCAGTGGAACAGGACTGAAAACGAACATAAAGAACAGCTTTAGCTTTGACGCAAAGAATTGCATCAGTGCTTGACAAAACCGAAGATTCTTAATTTTTAAAAACGCTTCCTTTAAGCACTTCCTAACCTTTCATTATCTGAGACAACATATCAAATGAGCAGCAGTACAAAGGATGCATGTGATTTCGAAATGCCACAATTGAGCCAACTGCAGTTGCACGCGTATGTAGCATGGAGGCGGGATCAAAAAAAAAGAATATAGGGAGTATAGGGTTTCATCTGCATAAAAAGATACTCTCCCCATCTTCTATAGCATTAAGTTTTGCGAAGGTAAGTTTCTCCCCGCTTGAAAGCGCCCCCCAGGGACAAGAATTCATCCTGATCAAGCCTAAGGCCGTGGCAGGCAAGGTGTTGAGTCACCGGGTACAGCGGTCATGCGACATAAATATTATTTGATGACGAAGGTACTCCAGGCTCAGGTTCCAAGGTAAACCACTGGCAAAGATGACCGTGGTTAAGGCATTAGAAAGCAGGGTCGACACTGAGACGCACTTCCAGCCCTACAGGGACTGTATTTTACGATTGAGGCAAACTTCGAGTCTCCTCATGTGACATGCGTGTACTCCTGGATGGTTTTAATTAGGCGAAACGCGATTTGCAGCGTGATTCCCTCCAGTCGATAGAGCGGAATCTCTCTGGCTCCCACCCCTTCTTAACCTCAGGCTTCCTGCATCCCGGAGTCCCCCTGGCAGCCCCTTCCCTCCCCCGCCCAGGGATGCTCCGGCTCGGCGCTTAGCCATTCATCAACCGGTTCACACCGGTGGCGGCCGCCGCGGAGTGACGTCCGCGGGGGCGGGCCTCCGCCCCCGCCTGTAGGCGCCTGGCTCGCAGTTCCAGGCCGCGATTGGTGGCTGCAGGGTTGCACGTCGCGCTGGCTATAAAGGGGAGGGCTTGTGACGCAAGGGCGCCTCGGCGCGTGTATTGGCTCCTTCGGCTGCGGGCCGGCTAGGCTACGCGCTCTGCTCGGAGCCGCTCACTGCATGGTAGAGTCTGGTGCCCCCGCCGCCGCCTGCATCGCCGCCGCCGCCGCTCCGCCACGACCACCGCCGCCTCCTGCCCTGCAGCCGCCGCCACCGCCTGTGTCGCCGCCGCCTCGGGACCGGCTGTATGATTAGGCCACAATCTTCAATGAGTAAACATATTCCTGTGAGTAGCCGTCGCACCGCCGCCTCTAGGGCTGGGAATCCACGACCGGCCCCCCCATCCGGGCTGTCGCCTTTGTTCGGAGCCCGGCGACCGCTCCAGGTTGCCCCGGGTTGCGGTTCCGGTGGGTCCCGGTGGGAGCGGGCGGGTTACGGCCCTGTGGCCGACCGATTGTGGCCGCTGTGCGGAGGCGGACGTCTGCCCCTCAGGACTACTGCGTGGCCGTTGGCCGCCGGAGGCACCGGGTTTTCACTCCCTCACGAGCCCGGGGCAACGGGGGCGGCGCAGTCCGTCCTGTGCGGCGGCCCGGGGCAGTTTCGGCTTCCACAGCGGGCCCGGTGGGTGGCACAAAAGCCGCTTTGTGACCGCCGTATCCGCCCTTGGCCCTTTGGTCTGGCGCGCCCCGTCCGGGCATGGCAGGCTCCGCGGCGTCCCGGGGCCTCTTTGTTCGGCCGGAGGAGAGTGGCTGCACTGGGAGCGGGAGACGTGGCCCGGGGTGGGGCGAGGGCTGCGCGTGTCACTGCGGAGCCGGATACGGGGAGGGCGCGGCGGTGGCGGGTTCGCCTCCAGATCTGGGCGGGCGTGGGGTAGGCGGGACAGCCTGGCACTGGTGGTAACGATCTGGGCCCCGAGCTTCTTGGAGCTCCCGGGTGAGCGCGGAACGGCCGCTGAGTGCAGCCGCACTCCTGTGCTCGACGGCGGGGACCGAGCCACAGACAAAATGGCCTCGGCGCCCGCGCCTGACTGAAGGCGCGGCGCGAACCCGTGATTGCGGCGCGGAGAGGGGGCGCAGCGGGCGGGCTCGGGAGCACACTGCCGCGTGCACGGAACGGCGACCCTCGGGGGCATTCCACGAGCTGCACCGCTGCCCGGGCCAAAGAGGGGTTCTGCTCGGTGAGAACTCCGGCTCTCGGCCCCGCCCTCCTCCCAGGCCCCACCTGGTAATTCGAGCTGTTCCGGATTTATCGCCCCACCTCGGGCTCGGGATAATGGGAACAAGTCGAGTCTTGTCCTTTCTCTGGGCCGGTTGTCGAGAAGTGGCCTAGGTCGTAGCGTCTAGGAAACTGCCAGGGCTACTGTTAGTTACACTGAAGCATAGGACTTCCCGTCCGGGCAGCAGCATACGTTTTCCCTGCCAATTTTGGAAGGGCCCTGTATGGCGCCTTTTAATCGAGGACTGTTTAAAACTGTTCCTGAACTCTGGTGTAATATGTTGTTGCCTCCTGTTGGGTTGTGGCAGCAGCAGCCAACCAGAGGCAGAATTCTGAGGGTTTTTTTTTTAATCTTCTTTCCGCGGAATTATCCACCAGTCCACGAGTATTAAGTTGTTATTTACGCTATGATTGGAACCGTTGACCTGCTAGACTTCCAGATTCTGAGGCAGTGCTTCCTGTTTCTCAGTCAGATGAAAACTAGATCATTCCCAAGAGCGAGCAGCATTTTACACATGCTTTGTTAAGTGCCTTGCCTAAGACCTGAGGAGATGTGGAACAGACTGTCCAATGAATTATTTGACAAAGGACTTATACACATTAGTTGGCTTGACGCTGCAGTATAGTAGTGACTTAAGCTTCTGCATAGAAATTGCTCTTTCCTTCTCTCCCCCTTGTATATGATTGTGATTATAATGCAACTGATACGTGGGAGGGGAAAAAAATCCCCATCATGGATAGTTTTTCCTGTGGGTAGGAGATTGGGAATGGAAGAGTGTCTTGGGCATAACAGAAAGTTATCGATGGTCACCACTGCTTTATTTTAACAGGTGAGTCCCCCCAGCCACTGGGTGGCTCCACTAAGTAAAAATAACCTGTTCAGGAAAGGAATTAATATAGTGCTTTCTTTGCTTCCTGATGAAAGTGCTTACTTATATGAAGGGATATGGCCAGACTAGGTTGTAGCCAACAGGAGTTTTAGCTATTAAATATGGAATTAATGGTGTGAAATACTGTCTCAAATCAGCTTTTAATTGAAAAAAGGTAATGCCTGGAAATTAGAACACTGATGAGTCATTTAAAAAGCTTTTAAAGATCATTGTATGTCATTGGGTAAGTGTCAGAATACACTTTTTATTACTACTTTTTATACTACGGAGGTAGTATGTAGAATTTGAGGTGAAAGTATAATGAAAGATTACTACAATCTCTGTTCACCGTAACTGCGATGTCTTTAATAGTAATTTGGACACGAATTTTTTAAGCCAGCTGACCAACTAGGTGAAGTAACCCGTGAGGGCTAGTTTGAACAAACTTGTCACCTTCCTTATGGGACCTTTTGATAAATGACTGCTAATGCTAATTCCTGTGTTTTGCCAGAAAAGTAGACTGGGTTTTTGACGATGTTTTATGGAATCTCAGATCACCATAAGAATTATTTTTCAAAATTTGGCAAAGTTCTAGAAACTATACCATGGGACTATTTAAAGATATAAAATGAAAATGGCAGCAGATTGTTGGAATTTTAATTTTAAGCTTTCAAATGCTTAAATTTAAGCATGGAAACTAATGGAACGTTTTGTTAAAATATTTTGTTTGGTAATGAGAGTACACATGAAGTCCTTGAGGCAGTGGCTGAGACTTAGTGCTCTTGTAAACCTGTTATTAATAGTTTCCTTAGTCCCCTCTTTACGCCCAAGTACACAGATACCTTATAAACTCTTTGAGAGAAGACTAATTATTAACATGTACATATTTGAAAGTATCATTTAATGTTTGTTATTGGCATAAAAATGGTTTAGTTCTTAAGGGAGAGCTTAGAGAAAATATAAATACATATTTATTTATATTTATTGGTGGCAGTAGTTACCTTGCCTTTGAGACCCACCACTTCCACCTTTAACTTCCCTTTGTCCCCCCTTCTCTGAGTTGGATTTCAGTTTTGAGTTGTATATGTGAAATTTTCGTTTTAAAATATAAAAGAATATTATTAAAATTATGAACATTTTCTTTATAGTTATAAATGGGAGTTCATTCCTTTAAATTCATAAGCGTACATTCTTAAGATATTTCATATAACAAGTTGATTTTCAGACTCATTTTCCTCATCTTCAGTTAAATGGGAATGATAACAGATTGTTAAGGATAAAATGAGATTCTAAATATAGAAGCACTTAAATCAGTCTAAAAAAGGATATAAAAGCAAAAAATTGAAAAGGAAATTGTTTCAGTTTATGAGTTAAGTGCATCATACAAGACTAATAACTTCAGAGTTATCTGTGAAGTTTGTATCAATGTGTATGTTATGTATGAATTTCACCAAAATGTAACAATGGTGGTTTTTTTGTGTTTTGTTTTGTTTTGCTTTTTAAGAATCTTGGTAATAGATCATTGATGATTTAATCTGTATTCACCCCTTGAGTTTTGTGATTCAAGTAAAAGTTGATGAAGCGGCCCTGGCCCTGCTTTATTAAAAAGATAGTTGTGAACTTAAATAGTGTAAAGGCGTAATATATTTCTTTTGAATTGGAAAATAACTTCTCTCTTTTTTCCCCTCTTTTTCTTTTAAACAGCAATTCTGTGGTGTTCTTGGTCACACATTTATGGAGTTTCTGAAGGGCAGTGGAGATTACTGCCAGGCACAGCACGACCTCTATGCAGACAAGTGAACTATAGAGATTGATTGCTACTCCACCAAGAAGCCCCCATAAGAGTGGTTATCCTGGACACAGAAGTGTTTAATTGAAATCCACAGAACATTTTACAAGAGTTCTGACCTGAATGGGGTAAACCTCAGTGCACTTCTTTTCTGTTGCCTCAGTATTACTGGATTGAAGAATTGCTGCTTCTTGTTAGGAGGTTCATTTCATTTATCATTACTTAACAACTTCATACTCAAAGCACTGAGAATTTCAAGTGGAGTATATTGAAGTAGACTTCAGTTTCTTTGCATCATTTCCGTATTCAGTTTTTTAAATTATTTCATAACCCTATTGAGTGTTTTTTAACTAAATTAACATGGCTCGAATGAACCGCCCAGCCCCCGTGGAAGTCACGTACAAGAACATGAGATTTCTTATTACACACAATCCAACCAATGCGACCCTAAACAAATTTATAGAGGTAAGATTTGATACATTTTGATATCTTATGCTGATTGCAATATAATAGCTTATAGCTAACAAAGTAAATACTACTTTGGAAAGTATGAAATGGTGTAGCTACAATTACAGTTCCCAGAAATAAATACCAATATCATCTGTAGGTTATAGGTATATTTATACATTTTGAGAAGGGCATGTGCTTGAGTTAGTAGTTCGTGCCTCTGAACTATGTTGCTTAAATTGTTACGTGGACAGTAAAACAGTAGAGCTCTCACTTAGCTTCTAAGAAATTTACATGGGAAAGGATTTTTTTAATATATCTGCTTGACCTAATGACAAATGCTATAAACCAAAGTTAGTTTTTCCTGGACCCCATTTGATGCTTAGAATCCAATTTTCAACTACTAATTCTGTTACCTCCTAATGGTAGCTATGAAGCCAAAACTCCACCTACCTCTTTTTACTAGGAGAAAGGAATAGAATGCTGAATAATATATCCAGACCTGTACATGTTTTATTTTATAAATATCGACAGTTGTTAAGAACTGCAAAAACAGCAAATAGGCCTCTTAGAACATAGGGGAATACTTTGCCAGGCTGGAGTGCAGTGGCGTTAGCTCACTGCAGCCTCTGCCTCCTGGATTCAAGTGATTCTCCAGCCTCAGCCTCCGAAGTAGCTGGGACTACAGGCTTACCACCGTGTCTGGGTAGTTTTTGTATTTTTAGTAGAGACAGGGTTTCACCATGCTGGCCAGGCTGGTCTCGAACTCCTGACGTCAAGTGATCTGCCAGCCTCAGCCTTATAAAGTGCTGGGATTAAAGACGTGAGCCACCCCACCGAGCCCAGGCTGGGAAATACTATAATGGTGCTTTTATTTTTGATAACCACATACAGTATATAAATGTCGGGAGAGTTATAATTAGTAATAATTAGTAATTTTAAAAAAGTAGTAATTAGCAATAATGCGTTTTGAAGCTTGTAGTTTTAAGTGATGTGTGGGCTTTTTTACTGTATTTTCAGGATTCTAGAATCTTTTTTATTAAAGTGACGGGGTTTCTCCATGTTGGTCAGGCTGGTCTCAAACCGCTGACCTCAGGTGATCTGACCGCCTCGTCCTCCAAAAGTGCTGGGATTACAGGCGTAAGCCACCTCGCCCGGCAGGATTCTAGAATCTTTGACTACACTTTTAAGGCTTCCTTTTATGTACTTCAAATGGGTAAAAGTTTAAGGAATGAGTATAATTGAGTCAGATCAGATTACTTGATTAGTTTATAAATGATTCCTTTAGTTATATTTACCTTTCTCTGAGTTGCTGCTAGCCCTTTTTGGTTAATGTTTCATCCCAGTCTGTCCGGTGTTGCCATGACTATAAAGAACTAGTATTGTCATTTAAAACAAAATTTGCTTCTGTGTTAAACATATCATTCTTTAAGTGATTTTCTGTTCAACACCATACTTAATAATCAGTGATGATCAGAACATGTTGTGTAACAGTGATGTGGTTATAAAGACTTCATTAAGATTTTTTTAAATGTATGTTTTATCCAGGAACTTAAGAAGTATGGAGTTACCACAATAGTAAGAGTATGTGAAGCAACTTATGACACTACTCTTGTGGAGAAAGAAGGCATCCGTGTTCTCGTAAGTATTTAACAGTTCCAATGTGTTTATGGTGCTGTGTTCCAAAAGTTTATTCAAATAGTAAATTCAAATATTTATGTCATAAATAGACTTCAAAAAGCTAAGTAAATTTTAATTATTATGCTGTATCTTAATTTTTAAATAAAGGTGAAAAGCTAAGCAAGGATTTGAAGTTATGAAACATTTCTGTTGAGCATTTAGTCACATTTGGTGGACAAAGGTTTAATAAGATGTGATTAAACATTAAAATGAGAATGCTTTTGAAAACATTTGGATGTCAGAATTTAGAATTACTACTACAGTATTTATATTAATGATCTAAAATATTTACTCTTTTGACTTAGGATTGGCCTTTTGATGATGGGGCACCACCGTCCAACCAGATTGTTGATGACTGGTTAAATCTTGTAAAAATCAAGTTTCGTGAAGAACCTGGTTGTTGTATTGCTGTTCATTGCGTTGCAGGCCTTGGGAGGTAAATGAATTTATCAGTTTGATTCTAGGTAAAAATGTGAGTTGATATAAACAATACTGAAACTTGAAAAAATCTTCTCCTTTTTTACTATTTAATTACTTAAATAGGAAGGGTGGTAGATAATGATACTTCTGGGTTGGGGAATGTTTGGAAATAAAAGTTTACCAGGATTTGGTTTTGAAAAACCTATTTATCAAAATTCTTACCTTACCAGAGCTCCAGTACTTGTTGCCCTAGCATTAATTGAAGGTGGAATGAAGTATGAAGATGCAGTACAATTCATAAGACAGTAAGTAATGGATTCTCTTTTCATTTGCACTCTTTGATTTCCTTATTGAATGTCAGTGAGTTTAAGTAATAGTGCATCTAATCATTATGGTTATTTTTTGAGATAGGATTAAAACCAGGAAATCAAGATGTTACATTCTTGTTTGCATTTCATGCATATTACTAAGATTCTAATCCAGCAAGATTCTTTGAATTACTGTTTTGCTTTAAATACTTTATTGAATAAGTTGCTTATTAGTTTGCATTTTTATTGAGGTATAAGTAAGATACAATAAAATGCACAGGTCTCCAAAGGAGACCAGTTGATAATAACAGCAAAATTAACCATCTAATACAATGTATAGAATATTTTGAGTGCTCTAGAAAATGCCTTTGTGGCTTTTGTAGTCATCTTCCCTGCCACCAGAGGCAACTTCTGACTTCATCACTATAAATTAGCTTTGTCTTATCTTGGACTTACGTATAAATGGATTTGTGGCTATTGTAACCAGCACTCAATATAGATTTGTGTGATTTTTCCATTTGCACTGATGTGCCTGTTCATATTTTTTCTGCATCAGGTAGCAGCCTAATTAATCAAAAGATAAGTTGCCACAAGAGAGGTGATAGTTGTCCATAGGCACTAAATATTACTGTAGGGGGCTTTTGTTGTAATTGTTTCAATTTTTTTTTCCTCCCAGAAAGCGGCGTGGAGCTTTTAACAGCAAGCAACTTTTGTATTTGGAGAAGTATCGTCCTAAAATGCGGCTGCGCTTCAAAGATTCCAATGGTCATAGAAACAACTGTTGCATTCAATAAAACTGGGGTGCCTAATGCTATTGAAAGTAGAATCTGAGATACGACCTAATTTGTTATACATATTAGCCAACGTATTGGCTTAGTAAGTCTGATGAAGCTTCCACAGGAGTATTGAAAGGCATTTTTACGAGGCCACAAGCTAGACAGATTTGGCAACCTCTGTGTTTGGGTTACAGTCAACCTATTTGGACACTTGGCAAAAGATTCTTGTCAGCATATAAAATGTATCTGTCATTCGTACCAATTGACCATTCCCAAAATCATGTAGTATTGAGTTATGACTTGTTTCAATCTATTCCCATGCCAGAATCTTATCAATACATATGTAGGAAGATTTAGGTGCCAAAATACCCAGCACAATACTTATATATTTTTAGTACCATACAGAACTAAATCCCAGGAACTATGAACACTCTAGACCTTATGTGGTTTATTCCTGCAATCATTTCAGACATTGAAAGTAGGGCCTACATGATTATTTGCCTGCTCGCTTTATGTTTACATCTCCCACATTCATACATCAGGTTTGCTTAACCATTGAATTTTTTTTTAACCAAGTCTTAAAATGATTATTTAATGTGTTTCTATAAATCTCACTTTCTGTTGTTATTAAAAAAACCTCCATTTTGAAAATCTACATTGTACAGAAGCACATGTCTTTAATGTCTTCAGACAAAAAAAGCCTTACAGTTAATTTAATGTTTGCACTCTGAGGTGCAACTTAACAGGGAGGGCCTGAGAAAGAATGGGAGGGGTCTGTTAATTATTTTTAGCAAAATGTTGCCTTTGTCTTGTGCAGAACATGTAGAATATGCTCTTTAATTTAGTAAAATATTTTTTTAAAAGGTAGAGATGCTTTGTTATTGTAATCATAAACTTCCTGAAATTCTTGTAATTTTTTTTCCATACTTATCAGAAGTTGTATACCAACTTATTTTTGTTCGAAAGTGTGATTCTTTTTTTTTCCTTCCGAGCCTCTCTTGCAAAAAAAGAAGTGGGTTTCTGCTAATGAATTGAGCAGACATCTAATATTTTATATGCCTTTGAGCTCTGTAACTTAATATTTGGATACTTGATAATTTGTTTTATTATGTAATTGATAAAATGGTGATGTGTATTAATGTTTGTTCAACCATGTATTTATACTGTCTGGGGATGTGTGGTTATAGTTCTGTGGGAGAAATAATTTGTCAGTGTTCACCAGCTTGTAAAAACTTAGTGCGAGAGCTTAAACATCTAAATAAATAATGAAATGCATTTATCATCATTGAGATTGTTTTGCTTAAAATTAACTTGTTTTGTAGAAAACAAAATGAATTGCACTTCACTTAATGCCATTTGATGTATAGTGTGTCCTCATCTTTTTACAAATGAAGGATTATAAATGAAGTCAGCATTTTAGTAAGGTTGTGGACAAAATTTGTTAGGGTCATTCATAAAAACGGTTTAATACTAAAAGCACTTTCCATTACATTTTAAAGGTCTAGATAATTTTGAACCAGTTTATCGTGTACTGAGGAGAAATCGTGTATAGTAGAGGACAGCCTAGATTTCTAAAGCTCAGTTCCACTAACTAATGGTTTTGTGCAACTTCTGAGCCTCAGTTTTCTCCTTTGCAAATTATTACATAACTTTACTGATTTTGAAATTAGTTTAAACATTAGTATTTGACACATTGAAGGCTTAATGTTGTTTCCTTTAATGATCTAAAATAACTCCTTTGATAGCTCATGTTAATCTAAAAGTGGTAGATGTCTTTGATTTTTTTTCAATAGCAGTTACAAATGTAAAGGATTCAAAGTTCAGGTAAAAAGTGGCACTCCACCTTGTGTTTCTAATGCCATCTCTTCATAACATTTAAATGCCTAATATATTCTATTCCTGAAATTTAGAGAGGGCAAAGGGAAGAACAGGGGCCTCTGGAGGCCCATGGTTATTTAAATCTTGGATTATTTGTGATAATAATCACAAATTTTTGGCTATTGGTTAACCCGAGCTGTGTTTTTTTTTTTTTTTTTTTTTTGTTTTTTTTTTTCTTTTTTTTTTTTTTTTTTTTTTTTTTTTTAAGGAAATACAGCCTAGTCTTGATGAGAACCAATTACTAAATGTTAAACTATTACCACACAGCCCGTAAAACAGCATTTGTGTTTATTGAGAGAGAGGATGTAACATGATTAATGAAAAATACCTTTTGAGTTTGAAAAGATTAATTTGCAGTGTTGGATTGTATATATGGTGCTAAAAATAAATTTACTTTATAAACCTTACCTGTACAATATACAATGTGATGAAATTTGCTTTTTATCCAAATATTTTGTATCTTGTAAATATGGCTAATTATAGGAATGCCTATAATATATCTTAGATTCCTTATATCTAATAAGAATTCAGAGTTATGAGTTGAAGTCTTGAATGCAAGAAATTATCTGATGGTGTCTAAAATTTGGTTAGTTGGGTTTGGATACCCTTAATGGGATGATGTAAATAGATACTAGTTGCCTAGGCTTGTCTATAGAAACCATAATGTTGCTGATGTAAGTAATGCAGTTACTGAATCATAAGAAAATGCCGTCTCTTTTCAGTTGAAGGAAAACTCTAGAAATAGGTGCAGTTGGTCATTCTGCAGTGCACTGCAACCATTGTTTCCCCTAGTGCCCTCCTAGGGCATTGCTGTCCTATTCCCATGCCTTAACACAGCTCCATACCTAGAAGCAGCCAGCCCAGGCATGCAGTCACATTTAATCACATCCCCCTTCTGGAGTGCTTCAAAATGATGTGGTCCCTCAACTTGGCTAAAGAATCTCAGTCTCTAGAAATCTATTTTTTAAATGTTATCGTCATCTGGTCAATATTTACTGTTTGCTGGGCATTTAAAAGTATGGCAAAGAACATGAAAGATGGTGTCACCAGATTTTGGTCACCAATGAGCACCCCACCCCTTGCCATGATTAAGAGAGGATGTTTTCTATTAGAGTTTCAGGAAATATGAATACTTCAAAGGGAAGTGGAAGTATAAATGAATGATGTTTTTCTTTTACATGTAAACAATGAAGTTATTTCAAAGTAACTTTGAAACAAAATACATGAAGTAGTGTCTGCCTTACATGTTTATATTCTACATTCTTGCTTCCTTAAATTAATATGTTTGTGTGTATATATGTGCCTCACACCTGAATTGAAAATTAAAGACTGGTTTAAAAGTGACATTTAATGTTTCTCCATTACATTTGGGGTAACCAGCCTAAGTGGCTGGAAGGAAAGCAGGGGAGAATTTATATTTGCCTTCAATGAATTAAACCAGTTATATATGTTAAGGTATGAATGAAAGGATTGATGGTGATTTTATAATTATGTATATTGCCGGAGAAGCCTGTGAATGTACTTTCTGCAAAGTAACAAATTGATAGCTGCCATTTATTACTGATTTTATTGTCAGGTAACTTTTATAATTTGATTCCCTTCCAACATCTTGTCCCAATTTTATAGTAAGGGGTTTGAGCCTCCAGATAGGAGACTAGCTAATAAGTGGTAGAAGTCAGAGATTCAAACCTGTGTTTGAGCCTATCCACTACACCGCACAGTTATGTAAATAAATATACAGGACTTTGACTTAACTAATTAAAGCTACTCTGAGTTTTGAACTCTTGCTTGTTGAAATCCTCATTTTCCTTGTGAAGACTGTATTATAAATTTCTTTAATTATGAAAATTATAATTTTCTTCATTTAAATTGAGCCCTTTTTCTACCTTTGCAGAAAAACCTTTATTTGAAGTAAATCAGAATGGGCTAAATTACGCTGCAGGAACAAACCCTGAAGTCTCAGTAACTAAGACAGTTTAAGAATTATTTCTTAAAATTTATGTCCATCATAAGGGCCCAGGCTAATGGAGCATCTACTCTGTGGAACAGTGCTAGCTGTGACAGAAGGCAAAAAGAGATTTAGTGTCTCACTTGGTGATTAAATGCTTGACTAAGAAATGATACATGTCACTTGTACTCAGAGCAATTCTATCATGTGGTGAAGGGCCAAAACTACACAGAATTAATCATCTCCACCTGAGGATTTAGGAGAGTACATCCATAGCAACATTCTACACAATTGAAATGCCATACATAAGGGGTTAAAGTTTCCAGGCAGCCAAAATAGATGTCATGAATTTCAGGCACCGAAGTTGAGAAGCATGAGGGTAGCAATTAAGATACACTTGTAAGCCTGATACCAAGAGAAATTTTGAATCAAAAGCTATACAATATAAAAAGTACAGCCATTCAGGACAAGTCAATGCTGTGACTAACAGCTTTAAGCTTATAGACCTCAATTGACCTTAAGGACATCGATATTTCACACACTGCACAGAACAATTAGATGCTTACAATGATTGCCCATAGTTTTTGTGTGTGTGTGTGTGTGTGTGTGTGTGTGTGTGTGTGTGTGTGTGTGTGTGTGTGTGTGTAGTGCTTGCTGCATTTCCTTTTTGTTTGTTTTTTGAGACAGGGTCTCACTTGGCACCCAGGTTTGAGTGCAGTGGTACAATCTTGGCTCACTGCAGCTTCAACCTTCTGGGTTCAAGTGATTCTCCTACCTCAGCCTCCTGAGAGGCTGGGACTACAGGTATGCACCACCACGCCTGGCTAACTTTTGTATTTTTAAGTAGAAACGGGGTTTCGCCATGTTGCCCAGACTGATCTCAAACTCCTGAGCTGAAGTGATCTGCCTGCCTTGGCCTCCTGAAATGCTAGAATTACAGGAGTGAGCCACTGCGCTCGGCCAAGTTTGGTTTCATGGTTTTTAAGGCAAGGAATTTTATAATCAAATATTTTCAAAGGACAGTCTTAGGTATATTAGAGAAATGTGCTAATCTTAGACATTATTTATTGCAATATTAGAACCTTTAATATACTGGTGTGGATTTTTAATCTTTCCAAGAGAACAATATTGTATTTAGCCATTGTATAAGTTGGTGTCTTAGAAGAAAACAGATTGCTCACTCACCGTGGTTAAGAAGCGTTTAATAGAGATACAAGAACAAAATACTTCAAGCCAATATTCCTGATAAGCATTGATGCAAAAATCCTCAATAAAATACTGGCAAACTGAATCCAGCAGCACATCAAAAAGTTTACCCTCCACGATCTAGTTGTCTTTATCTCTGGGATGCAAAGCTGGTTTAACATATGCAAATCAATAAACATAGCGCATCACATAAAAACAACTAAACACAAAAATCATATGATTATCTCAACAGATACAGAAAGGGTCTTGGATAAAATTCAATATCCCATCATGTTTAAAAACTCTCAATAAACTAGGTATTGATGGAATGTAGCACAAAATAGTAAGAAGCATTTATTTCAATATCTTACTGAATGGGCAAAAGCCAGAAGCATTCCCCTTAAAAACAAGCACAAGACAAGGATGCCCTCTCTCACCACTCATATTCAACATAGTATTGGAAGTTCTGGCCAGGGCAAACAGGGAAGAGAAAGAAGTAACACCTATTCCAATAGAAAGAGAGAAAATCAAACTGTCTCTCTTTGCAGATGACATGATCTTATATCTAGAAAACCCCATAGTCTCAGCCTCCCAAAGTGCTGGGATTACAGGCATGAGCCACTGCTCCTGGCAAAAGAAGCATTTAATAAAGGGAAGCCAACTGGGATGTTGCGATGCTGTTGCCACCTCTCAGTCTAAAGAGGCAAGGCAGGGGGACCAGTTACTGGGACTGAAAAGAAGAGCTAAATAGATAGGACTTCCTCAAAGAAGCTGTGACCTTAGTTGGAAGATACAGCCAACTAACAGCAATTCAGGTGGAGGCCAATAAAAGACCAAGAAATATTCAGCCTCATTTCTGCAACCCCTTTGATGTCCTACTGGTCTCCCTTTTCCCCTCTCCCCAGGCAGAAGGCAAAGGGACCTGCAGTCTATACAGATCAACCTTTTGGAAACAGAGCAGAGTAGAGAACAGGGTGTGGGAAACAGATAACATCCTGTACCACTGCAGATGCCTTTTTTTCACAGATGACTGCTTGAGATTAGTGATCTGCAGAATACACTGGGAAAAGTTGACATTATTCATTTTTTAAGATTTCCAAACTGACACATGTTGTTTTTTAGAAGCGGCAATACATACATTTTTTGGAAGTGACAATAAAATGGAGGTATCTACAGTAATATGAAACAGGTCATTCATTCAATTTCAACTTAATCAAGTGTATTTATTTTATTTTATTTATTTTCTTGAGATGAAGTCTCGCTCTGTCGCCCAG